CGCTTGCCAACGGCCACCGCCACGCTACGCGTTAGCGTGGCTTCATTAGCGCTTGTCTCAAGACGGAACGCGCCCTCCGCTTCCGCTGCCTCGCAGCTGCTCACGGGAGCCGATCAATGACCACTAAACAAACCAGATGTATTTTGTTGCACGTCTAATTTTTATGTATGTTTTTTTTTTAACATTTGCGCCAACTAAAATTGTTTGAGCATGGAGCACTTGTTTTGATCAGCGTTGAGCTAAGGGAAGTTTATTTATATGAAAGAGTTTTGGGGCCACGCACTGGTGAGGCGAATGAGGATACTACCAGAAAAAAGTTTGAGAATTCAGATGCATTTGGCGGGTTTGTGGGGGCTACCCACCCCTCAAAAATCAATCAATAAATATATAAACTCAAATACAAGGAAAAGTTCCTTTGTTTTTAGAACAAAAAATGCCCCCCGCCCCGATTATTGTTGACTTTTTTTCCGAAAATTACTTTTTTCCATCAACACTCTTCTGGTGAAATTCTGACCTTCTTCTCCCAAGATTCCACGTTCGATGTTGTCCTGCCTCCTTGAAAGTTGCCGTCAGCTCCGCTCGGAGTGGTCATCCTCCAGCAAGCTCAAACTTTCCTTTGTCGAGCTTTCCATGTTTCGACTCTCTGTGACTCATCTCCACTACCTAAAATGAAAATCCATTTTGCTTTGCGGCAAGTGTTTTTGATATGGAAAATATGTTTTTTTATAAATAATTTTTTGCACATGATGAGCCCCTTTGCACCAACCATCGCATCTTCAGCTAAACGCTGCATGACTATTTTGTAATGATGCATGTTTGTTTTCTGCAATTGACTGAGACTTTTTGAAAAAGAAACAATGTTCCGATGATCATACTTTTCAAGAAAAAAAAAAATCTTTTTTTTTTTTCCTTTTTGGAATGAGGTGTTTTGGAAGCGGGGGTAATTTTAAGGGAAAAAATAGACTGGTTGTGTGTCCAAAATATGATGCCGTTATTATTTTTTCCCCCACTAAAAAAAATTGCTTTTGGGGTGGGGGCTAATTTTGCCCCCTCCACAAATGTTTGCCCCCAAAACATTGACTGTTCATTCTTGTCTAAATGTGATCCTAGGGATGATAATTTTGTCCTCTAAAACTGTATTATTTTTTTTTCTCCCCAAAATGTGACTTTTCTCGTAACAGCAGGCCTATTTTTCTTTTCTCCAAATTGATAAGATAAGATAAGAAAACCTTTATTAGTCTCGCAATGGAGAAATTCCCAATTCACAGCAGCAAAGTTATGAATGGAAGAAGTAGAACAACAAAATATAGGAGCTGCTGGAAAGGCAGCCACTCAAATTGGACGTCCTTTGTGAGTTTCAAATGTCAACGTTCGACTTGACTTGCACGTTAACTTGCCGGGCCGCAGTCCATCCTCTGCTGTTTTGTTTTCCATCGTTCATCTGTCAGCATTTCGTCATGATTTCATCAGGAAATTCTGCGAAAGGAGCCGTCGCGACCGCCTTCCTTCTTGCCGCGCGAAGCCAACTCCGGACTAACAGCGAAGGTTACGCCGCTCGGCATCGCCGCCTCGAGTCTTGACTTAACCTTGGGGGCGTGCGTGGCTCGCCGCCTTATCCTTTCATCATCCATCCATCTGCGGGAATCGTTCCGCCGAAAAGCCGACGCAAATCCGCTTCGCCGGCTGTCATCTAAATGTAAATGCGCGTAGCAAATGCGCACGACGCCGACTTGTGTGCCGCGACACCCTCGTGGTGAGCGCCGAGGTGTTCGGGCCTTGCCGTGTTTGTTTTCCTGCAAATGAAATATGCATGAGTCCGTCACAAACGGGGACTGCGACGATTGAACCTTATCGTATCCATGAACATGTCGTGTATGACTTGGAAGTATTTTGAGCTCTGTGTAATTTGCTCCCCCCCATGTGTACAGCACACACAAATATCACTAATAATAATTAAAGCTGGAGCTGACATTACTTTTTTGTGTTTTATGGTGAGTGGTCCAACTTTGCCACCTTGTTCTGTCTCCAAACGAAGATGAAAACTCAAAGGTTTCACTTTTCGGCGTCAGGCCGAAACCTCCTATGTCACAATCTGGCAAATTTCAACTATTTCCACAAGTTGTGTACGCGCGATACCAAAAGAGATGTATCACGTGTGGGTCTTTTTGAAAATGAGTGAAGAGACCCACAAAAAAATGTCGGAACAAGCTGTGTAAGAAAAGAAAAAAGTCTTGACATCTTTATTTTGAAAGACCCTGGAATTGGCCCAAAAATGTCAAGACTTTTGTCTTTTCTTACACGGCTTATTCCGACATTTTTTGTGGGTCTCTTCGCTCATTTTAAAAAAGTTAAACATGGCTTGCACTCTTGGACAATACAGTCTTAATGTTTGAACGCACAAGGCATTTTGGGGGTCTCCTGAAGACTGATGATTTTGGAGGGCCAGCAATTTGTGGTTCAAATTTAGTAGCAGACAAAAATGCCTACCAAATTTGAAATTGCCTTGAGGGACTGGATTAAAAACAAAATCTAAACTGCCCAAGACTTGTGAAAGACCCCTGGAAATTGTCAAAATGGCCACTTCAAACCAATATGGCGGACTCCTATCTTTTTGGGCATGGCTTCTTTTTTTGTGGGTCTCTGATGATAAATACATTGACCAAATTTCATGTGAAGTCAACCTGGTTTAACGAGATGAATTCAAACTTCATCTTTGTCTGGAAATGGCCCAAAAATGTCAAGACTTCTTTTGTCTTTTCTTACACCATTTCTTCCGATATTTTTTTTGTGGGTCTCTTCATGAAACATATCACCCTCAAATTTGATATTCCTAAGCCAAGACATTTCGCGCGGGGCTGGAATTTTTGAATTTAGCCAACTTGAATGAACAGGACTGCTGCAAAATGTGTTTTGGAGTCAGAACGTAAGCTTATTTGGCCGAAGAACATCAAAATGAAAAGTGCATCGTTCGTGAATAATTAAAGCTGCAAGCTGCGACGAACGGGCCTGAAGAAGAAGAAGAAGAAGAAGAAGACATGCATTGGGAACACTAAAGCAAAATTGTTGAATGCAAAAGTGTTGTCGGAGGGATCTTGGTTTTCTTTGTAATGAAATGTATTTTTCAAGTTTATTGCAGAGTGGATTTATTGTTGCATTTTTAGCAACGGTTCCCTTGAGTTGGCGTAAAGGACGGCAAAAAAAAACACCTCGGCCTTTAACGGCTGCCCTAAGAACGTCTTGTTTTAGGAGCAATTACGGCGGCTTGTTAACATGATGTGCTTTTTCCTCCCGCATATTTGTAAGAGTTTTTAATTGCGCCGAAGGTTCAGAGGTTCCCAGCAATTAGAAGGCGCGCTTCATTTTAGTGGATTTTATGTATTCAAGCGAGGTTGAAAGGAGAGGCGCATTATTGCTTTTTTCTTTCTGATTAAAATTTACTCAAATTGGCATTAACGCAGCCATAAATTCTTAAAAAAAGAAAAAAAAAAGCAGCAGGGATCAAATGGTTGCCAGCCTCCTCCTCCTCCAACAACTGAAAAAATTCATGGGAAAGACGAGCCATTCATTGAGTGTCAGGGTTTTCAAAAGTAGGGTTTAGTTCTCAAAATAAGCTTTCAAAGTAGGGCTCGGCATTCAAATGATGGTTTTGAACGAGCTTTTAGCATTTCTTAAACTCGGGTTAGTGTTTTAAACTACGGTTTGAAAATAGGCTTTTAAACTTGTGCGAAGGTTCAAAGTAGGGGTTTTAAACGTGTTAAGGTTGCAAACTAGGGTTAGGGCTTCAAAAGAGGCTTTTAAACTAAGGTTAAGGTTTCAAAGTAAGGTTTTAACCTAGGGTTAGGTTTTAAACAAGGGCAAGCGTTATAAAGCGGGGTTTTAAAATAGGTTTAGGGTTGCAAAATAGGGTTTTAAACATGTCTCCAAGTTTCAAAGTAGGGTTTCAAACTACGGTGATGTATTTGAAGTCAACCCTCCCGAGGAGAAGCGGATCAGAAGATGGATGGATGGATTCTAACGGGGGGGTATGCACTGAGTTAGCATAGTACCTTGGCAGCTAATCAAGCACCTAGCGGACTGATCTGATCGAACTTTTTAACCCCCCCCCCCCAAAAAAGAGACAAGACGCCAGCCGACAAACGTGAATGCTGTCGCTCATTTTCATGGACAGAATGTCAAGATGATATATCTGACTAAAATAAAATATTCATAAGTTTGTCTTCATGTGCAAATCAAGGAGAGGTCACTGCTGCCATGTAGAATCACATTGTGTGTGTGTGTGTGTGTGTGTGTGTGTGTGTGTGTGTGTAGATGCTTTACTCTTTAGTGATGACATCATGATTTCGAGTTTGGAGCCATGGTTAGCTTATCAAAGTTCCAAGGTTGGGCTCCAAGTCGGTTTTTCAAGTCAGGGTAGTGGTTGTTGTTCAAACCTGAGTTACGGTTTCAAAGTCGGGTTTGAAGCCATGTTCACACTTAGAGACTTCGTATTTGAAATCACGGTTTCATGTCTGCAATATTGTTTGAAGACAGGTTTGAAATGAAGAATGTCTTCTGCTGCACGTCTGCCCTCGGCCCGCATGCGGGCATGACCTTGAAGTCTCTGAACGACCTTCTCCCCGCAGCTGTAAATGATGCGGATGAGAGGACCCCAGAGGACCTTGTGCAGCGCTCACACTTTCATTTTATGTCTTGCAGTGAATCAGGACGCTTTAATGCCAGAGTGCCCCCCACACACACCCCAAAAAAATAATACTACTCATAAATTTTGCATCAGGGTTTCCCTTCAAGCTTT